TTCCTCGTTGCCAATGCGCAAAGGACCATAGTTCTTACGCTATACTTTTCTCTCGAAAATTACTAATGCCGACCCAACAGATGTTCTAATTGTCCATGCTTCCGCAACATATAGTTAGACGGGAACGATGAGGGACTGTTAGAGTTTGGTCTTCGTTCGTCAAGAGAGAACTTTACTTTTCAATTGCTTACTCGTTCCAAAGTAACACCTGTTGGCAAGAGGAACTCTGCGCTGGATTCCGAGGCTGACATTATTATTGGTGTTTATGCTGGTTCCAATATAGACAAAATTATCTCCGACTTCAAGCTGTCGTGGGAACCGAGTCGCGAATGCGATAACTGTTTGTGTGTTTAGAGGAGATATTTCGTCTTGCCCTCGTTCACTACCATACCCTTATCCTTCGCTTCCTTATCCAGTTGGCACTCACGGCGCGTTAATTGAGCCCAATAAAGTCAATATCATCAGCGTACGCCAGCCGCTGTACTCTTATAGAAGTTTGTACCTTCTCTATTCAGCTCTGCAGCTCATTTATTTTCTCCAGCAATAAGTTAAAGACATCACACGATAATAAGTCACCTTGTCTGAAACGTCATTTTGTATCGGGCAGCTCGGAGAGATCCTGATGGAGATTTTAGTGTTGCTTAACGTCAGCTTACTAATAAGTTGGAGTGGCTCCACTGAAACTTCCTCTCTCATCAGCAACCAAGTAAAGTTAATCTAAAATAAATTAAATTAAATAAAAAATAAAAAAGATTAAAAAAAAACCGTAAAATTTAAAGTTATTAATTTAATTAATTTTGATTGAAATAAAGTAATGAATTACTTCAAACATAATCGAAAGCTGGGACTATCACGAGTAGTAGTCAAGTTAACCAAAACTTGCAAATGTTAATATTTTGGACAAGAAATGCATATTTATTATACATAATATGTACAATATATAAATAGTTGTGTGGCTGTTGTTAGGCTTTATTTCCTACATTATCCATACTCCATATACAAAAATAATTAAATTATTGTATTTCCACCACGACTGCGCCTAATTTAGTAAAGAAAAATAAATGTGATTTCCATTTCTCTGCTAAACTCTCAGGCCAACTATCCGCATAAGAAAATTAAGTCTTTCCCCTAACAATGAAATTATGTGACTAAAAGTAATATTTGCTTGAAACTACTGTGGGCAAAAAGTACTGGTAAATGTGATTTTTTTTAATTTAAATCAAGTTTGTTTGCTTCTAAGTTTGCAGCTCTACCGTATTCCAGCGGTTTCAAATTCATTCCGCTCTTTGCAATGGCCGAAATTATTTTCCAACAAAGTTCGTTTAAAATTTATGTGCGGAATGAAATATCTGCTGCCAAGACATTGAGAATGCTCCTTAAGGCCTTCAGGGAGCAAGCTCTACTGAAAACTCGTATTTATGAGTGATACAAAATTTACCAAAAAGGTCGAGAAAGCGTTGAAGACGTGGCACGTTAATAAAATAGACAAATGGTAGCCAAAAATAATCGATTAACAATTCGCAACCTTACTGGCCTTGTTGGAATATCTAAAGCATCAATAAAAGCAGACTACACCTGGTTTTTCACCACGTGAACGCGCTCTTGCACGCTGCCCTCGTTCTGCGTTATAATTTCAGCAGAAACACACCACTTCATGCCGAAATCTGCGTATGTGACTGACTACTCTCCAAGCTCAAAAGATCTCTTCGATGACACCGTTTCAAGCAGATTGCAGAGATTCAAGGTGAGTTGCCACGGTTCTAACATAAGTACTATAAAACTTGAAGGAACTATTTTTAAGGGCATGAAATTGATTGTGAGAATAAATTAGGTATCGTAATTTAAAAACAAATTGACGGCGTATATAAGTAAAGTTATTAAAAGCTTTTTAGTTGGAAACTGACTGAACTTATGACCATCAGTTACTCTCCCATTAGTCTACTATCTGCACTTTAAGTTGTCTCTTCTATAAAAAAAAAACCAATTTAAAGCTACTAAAAGTTTTCTGCCATTGGAACCTGTAAGCCACTTATGTTTTCCAATGCATATAATATATATAAGCACAAGATATACTACATGTAACATGGGTTAAATAATTGACATACTCATATGAGCACACATGTGCATATGTATATGAGTATTCATTTCCACGAAACATTTTCACTTGCGTTCGTATTTCATTAATCCTAACAAATGTATTTCTCATACGTTGTAAGTGCAATTTATCTAAAAGCAAAAATTAAATAAATCGTGAAAAATGATACTAAAGATACCAAAAGCACTATGCAATGGAACATGTATTCCGTTAACCAGATAAAATTGTGACGCTGTGTATAAAAAAACAAAAACCTTACTCACATTTGGTTTAAAAGCATTATTTAATACTGGAAAACGAGATTTACTCCTCGGTGTAATTAATATTAATATTTGCAACATGATACAAAAGACAAAATAGTTTCACTCCAAATTTTTTCAAAAATATTTTTAAAATAATAATAATTTAAAGAAATAAAAATATTTTATTTTGTTTTTTGCTTTATTTTTATTGTAAGAATTTCATTAAAAAAAATAAAGTTAAAATTATTTTTTAAATAAAAAAATATATTAGAAAAAATGCGAAATCTTTCTGTGTAAACAAAAAAATAAAGAAAAAGAAAACCTATTTACAAGAAACTCTAAGGCTTTGCATTGTAATTTCTAAAATCTAACAGAAATTAGATTATTTTCAGTCGTTTAAGCATTTTTTTATAAAAAAAATATAAGAAATATTTTCATAGCGGCAATATCTTGAAGCTCAAATGAAGATAAGAAATATTGTCTTTTCCTGTCAAATTTATATTGAGTGAAACTACCTTCCCTTTTTTTTGCAGCATCATGCTTTGCACTAAATTTGAGTAAGGTTACGACAACCGTTGACGTCACTGAACCAACTTCGTCATTTTTACAGTGGGCGTGACTTGATACTTACATCATAAAAAAAATTAATTTGCTTTAAGAAAATGTATATGTGATTGGTAAAGTAAAAAGTTCGCCCGGTTTTTATCAAAGAGATGGCATTATTGTCCATAGTACTAGTGTCGCATCATGTCATACTATACGGCGCTGAAAACGTGCTTATTCTATTCTAAAAGTTTGTCTTTGAAAGTTGTTCGAACGATTGACTCAGTACTTTGTGAGCGCTCGTCAAAGATGGGCATCAGCAAAGAGCAAATTCGCTATATTTCACAATTTTTCTTCGACCAAGGCGAAAAAGCAGCCAAAGAGGCTGAAAAAATTAATTTAGTTAATGGGCCCGATACTGTAAACGAACGTATAGCACAAAAGTGTCTTGCTAGGTTCCGTTCCGGTAATTTCGATGTCAAAGATGCACCACTCGTCGGGAGCCTTTCGTTGAAAATTGCGATAAAATCATGGAAAGAGTGGAAAAAGACCGCCACGTGAGCAAATTGCTGAAGAACTAAAGATAAGCCAGAAACCCATTTGGAACCAGTTGCATACCCTTGGATTCAAAAAAAGCTCGATGTATGGTGCCACACGAACTAATGCAAAAAAAAAAATGATAGACCAAATTTCCATCTGCGAATCGCTGCTGAATGGCAACCAAATCGACCCGTTTCTGATGCGGATTGGGACTCGTGATGAAAAATGGGCCAAGACCGGATTGACAACCAGGAAGGTTTTTCTGTGTGTTTATTGGGATTGGCAGAATCATCTACTACGAGCTGATCCCTTATAGCCAAACGCACAATTCGGCCCTCTACCTACTGCCAACAAATGGACCGCTTGAAGGCAGCACTCATCCAGAAGAGGGCATCTTTGATCCACAGAGGCTGAATTGTGTTCCATCAGGACACCGCCATGCCACACTCGGCTTAGGTGACGCGCCAGAAGCTCAAGGAGCTCGGATGGGAGGTCCTAATGCACCCACCTTATAGTCCGGGCTTGGTACCAAGTGGGTACCATCTTTTCCTGTCCATGGCGAACGCGCTTAATGGTGAGAAGTTGGCCTCAAGAGAGGCCTGTGAAAATTAGCTCTCTGAGTTTTTTGCCAATAGGGACGCAGCCTTCTATGATGGGGGTATATTGAATTGGCATCTCGTTGGCAGCAAGTTAACGAACAAAACGGGGCATTGACTTAAATCGGACAAATGTATACAAAGTTATCATATTTTGAAAAATCAAGAAAAAAAAACAATTTTTTTACTGTACCTAATATTCGAAAAATACTCCCAGAAGCTAAGATTCCTTCAAATATCTTAAACACTGAGAGACGACAGGGCTAAACCAACTCAGCTCGTTATACTGGTCATGTTTGATATAAATTTGGATGGATCTATGTATCTTTTCTCTTCACTTCTTGGCCACCGTAGTACCAGAGTGGTTAGCATTGCGTGCTATCATTCGGAAGGCCAGGCTACGAGTCCAGGTCCGAAAGACTTCTTTAAATTATAGAAAATTAATTTTTCGAATTACGGTCGCCCCTTTGCACGGCATATGACGTCTTCCTTCGGACATTCGGAGGTTTCACCATTTGCATTTGTATGGAAGGAGCTCGGCCAAAAATTGCTTCAGCGGTTACAAAGCGGCAATTATATGTATTTATATATATCTTTTCTTACTAATATATGTGACCGATTTTTTAGTAGAAATTACTCCTAATAAATTTAATTTTATATTTTTCATGAAAATTTTACGCTAAGTGGAATTTCGTTTAAAATAAACGTTCCTAATTTTTTGATTTCAGTAAGGATTTCTTTTTACTCTCTTGTGAAGTAATTTCAAAGAAAAATATCCTCTATTCTAAGAATAAGGAAAAATTAGAATAATGGCTAAGCTGAAGGTTGAGTTAAATATCTGGCCAAAAACACTTCAAGGGTTGTCAGCAACTGTGTTATCTTTATTTGATTTTTAATAATATCTTTTGTATATAAACACAAACGCTTATATAAAATTAGTCAACAGAATAAAACTAATAAATTCATTCAAATATAATTTCACATACACTTAATCGTATTAAGAGATTTCCCTTTGCACTTTCCTTTCCTCCAGTAAAACTTTGGCTTCTCTCTCCAATATTTTCCCATTATTATTCTGTGGCATTTGAAACGAAACGAAAATAACACCAGCATGTACATGCTTATGCTCCAATGGCAAATTCTTTCGCACATAACCTTTTACCTGTTGCTCAATTAGACCTGCACCTTTACGACGCACCACTGCACCGGCCGCATCAGCATTTCGCTCATCATACACACCCACCACACAAACTTCCGCCACTTCAGGCAATTCTTGTAAAATCTGCTCAATTTCCGCAGGCAAATAATGCGCACCCTGATACTTGAGTATATCCTTCTTGCGATCCGCAATGTAAAGAAAGCCTTCATCATCGAAATCACCAAGATCGCCCCAATGGAACCAACCATTTTCCAGTGTCTTAATTGGATTACCATAACAACCCTTCCAAGTGTGATCAGTTTGCAATAAAATCTCACTTAATTTTGCACGCAGTATTCAACAACTTTTATCACTAATTTACTCTATTTTCAAACAACTATAGTAAAACTCAAAAATAATTGATTTAAGATTTCTACTCTCTACTACCGAATACCAGTTTTAATCTATGTAATGATCTCACAAGTTCCTTTAAGCCGATAAAATATTTTTTTATTTGACAGGTGAGAATCATGTTTATAGTTTTGCAGAGTGAAACTCCAATGGCGCTCAATAAAAAACAGTCCCTAAATTCGTTCAGCTCAAATCGTTGCTCCAGACTACATTGCCAAAAAAAATGCACTCATGTCCAGCAATACAGGCAGCTTGTGGTTCTTGAAGGAAGGGTACGCTTTTTTGCTTCGAAAAGTTTAGGTATCTGCTTCTCCAATGGATTGGATTCTGACATGAGTGCAATCTATACACCGCATCAGGCTTGGGAGCTTCGCGTGTCGGCGATAAGTGTGCATTGCGCTCTTTATTTCCCAGCTTATTTACGGTATTCTGATGGGTAGTTGGACAACTTTCATTCCGCATAAATCAGTGATACAAGTTCAACAACTTCCCGGCTTATAAAAGAGCAATGTTGAAAGCATTATGTCCGCTTGATACCTGCAAAATTGAATGAATTATCAAAATATTTATTTACTTCAAGTAAATTATTTTTACAAACATTTCATTGTGACTTCTGATTTTACTTTATACATTCTCCAAACCGTATTTTGCTTTTGTTTTGGCAAAACGAAATCTACGAATGAAAACTTCTTCGAGATTTTTGTCAAAAATATTAATTTGTGCTTCCTAAAAAATGCGCCTCTGAATCAAAGCAGGCAGAGTGGCAGTGCGTTGCAACATTTTTCGAAATTCAAATTGAAAATAACACAGGAATCTGGTTACGAGCTAATCGCCCTTCGCCCCCCAATGTTGGCATTTGCGCCTTAATCGGACATTGTGAAAACAAATTTTAGGCTACCTTCTGATTATGTTATGATTAAGTGCTTAACGGTCATTAGATTATTTTTGAGAGATTTTTGCCAAAACACAATCAATCGTATATGTGTTATCGTGGTCCATCTGTGTACCATGATTGGTGGAACTATCGCAACAAGACGGCGCCACTACCCACACAATGCAGCAATCAATGGATTTGTTGAGAGAAACCTTCGGTGTCCGGTTTGGCCGGTCGACTGGCTAGCAAGTTCGTGTGATATCATACCGTAAGACTTTTTCTTGGGGGGTACTGAGTCCAAAACGTAGATAGTGTGAGCTGGAATATTGTTGACACCACACTTTGGGAGAGTTAGAACATCTAACCCCAACCCCTAAATGGCTTCAAATGATTGATTACAGATTTTAAACAAATAATTATCCACCCTACTTTCTCCAAAATTTTAATAAATACAAGCATACATAAATTGTTATTATTATCTTATTTTTTATTTGATTTAAAATCACAGTTAAATGACAATAAAATGATAGTTAAATGACAATAAAATACAGTTAAATAACAATAAAATATCCATTAGTTTTAAGGACTCTCGGTCCAAATTCGTTAAACTTAATTACGACAAGTTATGAGCACTTTACCTCGAACAACGATCTAGCTTCTCTCCTCAGCGTTTTGCCATTGTTATTTTGCGGCAATCGGTCAATGAAAATAACACCAGCATGCAGTTGCTTGTATTCCGCAGGCAATCTTTTCCGTACATGATCCTTTACCTGTTGCGGCGTTAACTCGGCATCCCTTCGGAGCACTACAGCAGCGCCGGCGGCATCACCATTCCGCTCATCATAAACACCCACCACACAAACGTCCATAACTTCCGGCAGCTCCTGGATAACCTGCTCAATTTCAGCAGGCCAATAATGCATACCCTGATACTTGAGTATATCCTTTTTACGATCGACTACATACAACATATTATCATCATCGAAATAACCCAAATCGCCGGTATGGAACCAGCCTTCCGAATCCTGCATACGTTTCGACTCAATCGGGTTGCCATAGTAACCGTTCCAAGTGTAACCGGTATTCACATAAACCTCACCTATTTCGTTCTTGGCTAAATTTATACCGTCCTCGTCAACAATGCGCGCTCTTACGCCGGGCAGTAACTTACCCACAGCGCTGGGATATTCGTTACCAGAATTAATCGAAATAAAACCCGCTTCGGTTAAACCGTAGCCAAAAATAACTACGCCATTCTGGAGTAGCTGTCTGAGTTTATTTAATGTTGGTAAACTAATGCAACCCCCACCGACGAGAAACGAACGTACGCTGCTGAGATTTTCCGTTGTTGCTGTGGAACAGACAGTGAGTGCGGCGACATGACGTGGTGCAGCTAAAATGAATGTTATCTTGTACTTCTTCACCAGCTCCAACATATATTCGGGTGTATAGGGCTTATTGGTAATGACGCGCTTACAACTTAAGCTCGCCGAGTAGTAAGTGAAGAAAAGACCGGATATCCAATCTAAACTGCTGTTTGTAAATATGACATCCTCGCTGGTAGCGAACCTAAAGAGTATCGGGAAAGTAGAAAGATTAGATGCTCATTAAAATACTGGACACCAGTTTTTACTTACAAATGCTCTATTTTGAGTAAATAATTTGGTATGCAGACACTCTTGGGTATGCCAGTGGTGCCTGAGGAGCACAAAATCGCTATAGTCTGTTCACCGCCTAATACCAAAGGCTCAGGTCTAAAATTTCGTACAATCAAATTTTTGTTATGTAAGCAAATATATAATATATAAAATAAATATATACTTATATACGAGTAAGTACTCACTTGTAAAGATTTTCATTTGGAATTGGTTGTAGTAAATCTTCAATCTTCGCTACACCATCAATATGTTTTGTAAGCGTATAAATTAGCGGTTTCAAATGACGTGTTGCGATTTGGACTTTCTCATAAACATCACCATCACAGAATATTACCTTTGGTGATGTGTTGTTGAAGATGTGGCAGATTGTGTCTGCATAAGATAAATAATGAGAAATATTGGAAATATTTTCTTCTCTCTGTATCTCTTTTTCCCTCTCTCTCTCTCTCTCTCTCTCTCTCTCTCTCTCTCTCTCTCTCTCTCTCTCTCTCTCTCTCTCTATCTATCTATCTATCTATCTATCTTTGATCTATGATCTGCCTTCTTACCTGTGTCAAGCAATGAATTTACAGCATGGAAGGGCGTACAGTTCATGAAACACCCCACGGCCAATGAGCTTGAATAGGTGCTATTCTTGGCCACAATGCCAATGACATCGTCATGATTTAGACCCATTTTCTTAAAGTGCACAGCTAATCGTGTTGACCAGGAGAGCAATTCTTTATTGCTTACTTCGCGCCCATCGATGTCGGAAACCTACGGGATTATAGAAACATTTATACTTTATTTAATACAATCGAATTAGTATTTGTTAGTGATTTTCATGAACATGAAAGCTAAGAATGATAAAAATATACTCGTACCTTTTTATGTTCATGAAAGGTATAAGAATAGTTTTTGGGGGTTTGCGCTCATATATTTATATCTTAAAATAATTAACAGCGGAGAGAATAAAATAAATGGAATAAAAATAATAATAATAAAAATTTAAAATCGGCATTTAGAAAGTTTATCAAAGAAAAAGGTTATTCTTTATTGAATCATTTCACTGAATTTAATTTGCCATAAAAAGTTTTCACGGGTTTAGCAATTTGAATTTGTTGTACTTGGCATGTATAGTGAGAAGGTAAGCCGAATGAGTTGAAAATCTTAAGAATATGCATTTGGTGCTAGTGCCTGGCAGAGTAAATATACAAATTTTCATAGCGTCCAATTCGTTGAGCAATTCTAACAAACTGAAGTTTATAAGACATTAAATCGAAAGAAAGTCCTGCGGGATCAAACCTTCATACGTAATAATGAAGTAAGTGAGAAATCAAGATAAAACTTATTAAGAAGGCTGTTGAAAAATTCAGCTGTTGAGTCTTTTTTTCCATAAATGAATAGTTTCTAGTCGCGACATTTCACTAATAACTTCATAAATTTCGTCCGTTAATCGCACCTTGGATGGAGGGCAGAGCAAGTGTTGAGTTTAGAATTAAAAAGATGCATTTTAAATTAAAAAATAGTCAGTTTTATACCATTATTCCGCACCATTTATTTAATTTTTTAAATTAAAGCAAAAAAATGTAAGGATTCGTCTTCTGAAAATTTAAATAAAAACGTTTTTTCGAAATTCCTTATTTAACGAAAAAAAAAATAAAAAAAACGTTATTTTTTTAGTTGCTCTTATATAATTCACAGTTTATTTTTTTTAAATTAAACTGCCCAATTTTCTTAAAATCACTCTTTTCGTTTTGTAATTTATAGTTTATCCATAAGACGAATTAGTTTTGGAAAATTGGGGAGAATCAAATTATTTTTCATCAGCGATGTATTTTGATTCTCTTATCTCACGCTACTCACCTGACAAATATTATTTGGGAAATTTTTTAAATTGTAGTAAATAATATTTCCCACAGAACAATTGAAGTCGTGTAATAATGGCCATTTCACACCGCTCCATACATGCTCCTTCTCATTGTAAACACATTTTAAGAATTCCATGTGGCACTATTTAATTCACAGCTATTATCGTGTTATTTGATTGCTTCTAACGAACTAAAATGCCAGCAAATTAGCAGCACCTTTAAATACTGAAACTGCGCTGGCAAAATCCAATAAATGGCCGCTGTGTGCCTTAAGTGTGTGCGAGATTACGACATAGCGGATGACTGCTGATACGTCGCACGAGAATACACAAAAAGATCAGGCACATACACAATGTTAGATTCCACCAGACAATCTCCCCTTTTTTTTTTTTTTTTTTTTTTGAAGTATACAGAGAAGCATATCGGTCCAAGCCTTTCGAGAGATATGTTATGCGCCTCGTAAGTATTTATGTGCAGCTTAGTCACATTTCTACTGATAACCACTAAGATGTTTTCACAGATTCCCGTTAAACAAATTCCATAAAGTAAATGAAAAATAAGACATAATAAAATAAAATAAAGTAAGCGGTAGCCGAGTGGTTAGCTTTACGTACTGACATTATAAAAAATACAAAGTTATAAAAAATTAATTTTAATAAAAAATTATGTTAAGTTTGTATTTCGGAAATGAAATAAAGGCTCCTCATGAAAAAAATCATCAGCCGTTCGAAGGCCGCTTAGTATAAACCAAGGGTCCCTCCCATTGTTGGAAAAGCTTCAAGACGCAAAACCACAAATTGGAGGAGGAGCTCGACAATTAAAAAAAAATATAATAAAATAAAATAATATAAAACAAAATTAATAGAAATAACTAAAATAAAGTTAAATTGAAATAAAATTAAACAAACTAAAATAAAAAAATTATTAAGAAAATTTAATTAAATCAAATTTAAAAAAATTTAATAGAAGAAATTAAATGTAATAAAATATTTTTAATAAAAAACAATATACAATAAAACAAAAGAAGATAGCATAAAGAAAAAAAATTTAAAATAAAATAAAATAAATTTAAATATAATAAAATAAAATAAACTAAATTAATTAAGAAAAAATAAAATATATTAAACCAAAGTAAAATAATATAAAATGAAATAAAAAATAATTAATATTAAATTAAAATAAAATAAATCAAACTAAAACAAAAAATTGTTTTAAATTAATTTAAATTATTTTAAATTAAATTAAATTATTTTAAATTAAATTAAAATAAATAAAACTAAAAGAAATTAAATTAATTTAAATTAAACTAAATTGAACTAAATTAAAATCAAATATTTTAAATTAAATTTATAATAGATTAAAATAAACTAAAATCTTATAAAATAAAATAAAATGTAATATAATATAATAAAATGAAATCAAATAATTAATATTTTATTAAATTAAATTAAATAAAGTAAAATAAAATTAAACAAAATAAAGCAAAACAGAACCAAATAAAATAAAATAAAGTAAAATAAATTAAAACAAAATAAAATATAAGTATTGAAGAGAAATAAATGAAATGAAAAATGCAAATAATATAAAGAAATGTAAATAAAAATATCAAATATAAGAAACAAAAATATTCAAAAACTTAAATATAAAAAGTAAAATAAAAATGAAATGAAATGAAACGAAATAAAATTTATGAAACCAAAATGAACTGAATGATAAAAATCCTTAAATAAAAATCTAAAAATATTAAATGAAAAAAATAATTATAATAAAATAATATAATAAATAAATATCCATTAAATAAGTCAAATGAATTAATCAAAAAATAAAATCAAATAAAACATTTTAAAAAAATAAACAAAAAATCAAATTAAATAGAAAATATAAAAAAAAAACATTATAAAATCTAAATCAAAATAAGTAAATAAAAATAAGAGAGATTGAACAAAAAAATTAAATCAAGTAAAATAAAACAAGATAAAAATCAAATAAGAAAAAAATAAAATAAACTAAAATAGGATAAATGAAGCAGACCAATAGAAAAAAAACGAAATCAAAATAAAATAATTCAATTAAACTAAAATAAATCATTTAATATAAATGAACTATAATTTTAAATAATAATTAATAATAATAAATTTCCATTTAAAAGTATACGTTTGATACGAACTAATTCATCCTCAATTGTATCTGGCAGAGGGTGATTAAGGTGTAGTCGTCTTATTTTTTACAAGTTGAATAAATGATTACACATCTGTATTGTATGTATATTGCATTGTAAGTTGATTTAATCTAACTTTGTAAACGAAAAAAAAAAAACATTTCACAGACGTCAACTCAGTATTTGATTTAAGAGCGTTAACAAACAAAGCATTAGTTAATCAAAATTTACATAGCTGAGATATTCAAAAAAGACAGCTGCTTGATAATCGCCACCAACGGCTTAATGGGCATTCTTCTCTAATTTAAAAGGATTAGTTAGACTGCCTTTTGGAATGTGTGCCAGGCATACAGGCTATTTCTGGTAAAATTTAAGACATAATTAAAATGACAATAACAAGCTCACAGATTGCTCGAACTTAACAGATGAGTATAGAAAATTATGTTAATTTTTTAATCTTATATGTACGTGTATGTATGTATGTCCAATGTTTTTCTTGAAAACCAGACTTATGTAAGAGAACTATATCATTTACATTGGGAAGAGAAGAATCTTCTGATGTAATTCTTGCAGGCAGAACGCTAATAATCGTATTCACTTCAAAACCACAGGCTCGCAGGAAAGAGATAATGTTCTTGGATCAAATTATTATTTGACCTTCTGGCGCAGGAACTTTTATCTGTTCTTCATTATTTACTGTTGGTTTGAAATTTTTCTTGTTCTCTGCAGTGACTTTTTATTTCAGGCATTAGGAATCCAATCAGTAAGATCTCTTTTACTACTATCTAAAGCCGAATTTTAATTATGGTCGATAAGTAAGCTTACCATTCGGGGCGGATGCGCCACTTGTATCTGGTTAACACACTGTGGGTGAAATGGAGAAAAAAATACAGCTCCGTTTAATTAAATTTTCAAAATAAATTTTGGCATTATTTTCATCTCGTATTCGATTACTTATATATTCAATAAGCCTAATGACATTTTTTGTTTTTGTTTTGCTCTCAATATTCGCTCAGCTGACGGTTGTCACTTAAGTTTGCCTCGAGAGGCTGCTGCGAATTTATGTGCTTTTTTTCTTAAATTAATAAAAAATTCAATCTTAATGTGTGTGATGAACATATAAATATATGAACTGAACAAGCAAATATATATGAAATGAAATGTCCAAAATGTTGAAACACCTTCATCCGCTTAAAGAAGAAATTATTTTCCCCAGTCAAAATGTCCATGGCTAGGTGAGAGTTCTGTCTTGTTAGTGTGGCATATGAAAGCTTGCACGTCTCAAAAAATTGGCTGTGGATAATTATATATGACCTTTATGAATACGCATCAGCAACTATATTTGTGGACATGTATCCATGGTTCTATATGCCTGCATCTGTGCATCAAATTCTGATACGTAGAGCAGGCACGCTGCCTAAAGGCATGTTTTCTAAAGAACCTCTTGAGGCCAGAAATAAAAACCTAAGAAAGTTTCGCTTTCATAACTGCCGAAATATGCTCGCGAAAATACCAAGAAAAGCTTGGCACATTCCCTTTACATTTTTTTTTATTCCTTCATTACCATGCTATCCAAAGGTTCAGCGAAGACTGCAAAAAGATCAGCTATGGAGAAAATGAAATGGGTCTGTAATTCTGTAAATGTAAATTAGGCCAAAAAATTGGTCTAATAAGGAAAGGTGGTGATTTTCGAAATAACAGCGATAGCTTCTACCGCCCAAAGCAATTGTTGCAATTTTTTCACTATTTTCAAAAATATATGGTCTCAAACAGTTCCAAAAAACAAAAAAATCGATACATTTTTAAGGAACCTGTTATAAAATCAGTGCTAGATTGGACTTTTCGCCCACTGTGCAACAGGTTGATTTCCCTGCAAGCTACTATTATTAGGACTTTTGCTCGTTTTCTTAACATCTTCACATTTCTATTGCCAAGCCGATCAGCTAGGGCACTTCTCTACGGCTTGTAGGCCTGTTAATTCATTGTTTTGGGGAGATAAAAACGAATCGATCTCAAAAGCAAAAACGCAAAATGAATATTTCAATGTGAAAATATCAATATCTCCAAATGGCAATAATATTCTGAATATCAATAACAAACTCTCAAATATACAATTTCAATATAAAAATAACGAAACCTTAATATTATTATCCCAAAAATAAATTTCTTAATTCTGTAATAATTATTTCAAAATCATTATCTCAAAACTGAAATCGGTTATCTGTTATGTAGATTAATGTTGTTTAAATTTCCTCAAATTATTTTATTCTATCATTCACAGATTTTTTGCTGATAACGGGTTAATTGTTTAAGAACCCAAGCTGCGATGCCTCGACTTAGGGATACTCATATGTGTGTATGTATTGTAGTTGTGATTTATTTCAAAGCAAACAAGTTTTTTGTCAAGTCATCTTCTGCCGAAATAACAAAGTAATGCACGTATTGCGCTATCAGAGATATATTTGGAGAGATAAGGTGCTTTTCCGCTACTCAAGGTCTTTCATTTTCCCAAAATATGAATATGAATGTCTTAAATAATCGGAACGCCTCTAATTAATTAACGCTTATGGCCAGTATTGAACACAGCCGCAGTACATAACGATTTGTTTTTATAAAAGAGAATGTCCTTTAATATGTTGACTTAGACAAAAAGTTACCAAATTATAGGCAGTCCAATGAAAAGAAGGTATTGATTCATAAAATTGAACTCTGATATATATTTACATATGGACGTATCCACAGCAATTACATACTCAAAAAGTGACTGTTTGGTATGCTCTATGGGCGAGAATCAGTGAACCATATCTTTGTTCGCTATGGGGAACGCTATAGAGCCATGATCGCTGACTTTTTCGTGCCTGAATGGAAAGATGTTGGGGTGGACGATCTTCGGCTCCGACAAAAAAACACGGTCTTAAGCATACCGCACGAATCCGGTGGTCAATCGACATCTCCAAAAAGAAAGATTATGCGGCAGGCAATTTTCTCACGCAATTCGCTCGTGCTTTTTGGGCATGTGGCACCGTCTTGTGAAAACCACTAATTGTCTAAATTATGTTCTCCAAT